GTGTTACAAGTTCTACCCCCCTTTATTTGGGATTTCGTCCCCGAAATCCATGTGTCTAATCAAACAGAAATGGATATTGTTCCCTCATTAGGATCTCCACTTCCCACGTTTGCTCCTCGACACGATCACTCTTCCAAAGTACCTTTACCATCGATACCTCTTTGCTCCTTAGCTTCTTTACTTGTCGGTCCATGATTTTCACCGGCTGCACCGTATAGTGTAGGTCTTCTCGGATTTCCACCGGTGGTTTCTCAAGAATATGTGACGGGTCCCGCACATACTTCTTGAGCATAGAAACATGAAATACGTTATGAATCTTTTCTAACTCCGGAGTCAACTGAAGTCGGTAAGCTACAACCCCAATCCTTTCAAGGATTTTGAACGGACCTATGTAACGTGGGTTAAGCTTACCCCGACTGAGGAACCTGATGATCCCTTTCCAAGGTGATACCCTCAGAAATACCTCGTCACCAACCTCAAACTCCAACGTCCTTCGACGTTTATCAGCATAGCTCTTCTGCCAGTCTTGGGCAGCCTTGAGCCTATCCTGTATGACTTTTATCTTCTCCTTAGTGATCTCGACTAACTCGGTGCCCTCGAGCTTAGCCTCGCCGACCTCGTCCCAACATAATGGTGTCCGGCATTTCCTCCCATACAATGCCTCGTATGGGGGCATGCCTATACTTGCCTGTTGTTGTTATAGGCGAATTCCACTAAAGCCAACTGATTGTCCTAGCTCCCCTGGAACTCCAAGACACATGCCCTTAACATGTCCTCCAAGATCTGAATCACCCGTTCAGATTGCCCATCCGTTTGAGGATGAAACGCGGTGCTAAACCTCAATTTCGTACCCATGGATTCCTGGAACTTAGGCCAAAACCGTGATGTGAACCGTGGGTCTCTATCCGATACTATAGTAACCGGAACCCCATGCAGTCTCACAATCTCATCTGTGTACAATTTGGCCAACCGCTCGAGCGTATAGGTAGTGTTGATAGGTAGGAAATGAGCGCTCTTGGTCAGCCTATTGACTACCACCCATACCGCGTCGTAGTTCCTAACCGTCCGTGGTAGACCCACCACGAAGTCCATGGTAACATGCTCCCACTTCCATTCTGGAATGGTAAGTGGTTGCAATAACCCTGCCGGGTGTTGGTGCTCTGCCTTAACCTGTTGACAAGTAAGGCAACGGCTCACGTATTCTGCAATCTCTCTCTTCATCCCCGACCACCAGTAGCTTTCCTTCAAGTCCCGGTACATCTTTGTACCGCCCGGGTGCATGGCATACGCAGATGAGTGAGCCTCCTCAAGGATAGATTATCGGAGCTCCTCATCCGATGGTACACACACTCGTTCCTTGAATAGTAGAAGTCCATCTTCTCTCTCACAGAAACCCTCGACGGGCCCCACAAGCATCCGTTCCCGGATTTTCTGAAATTCCTCGTCATTGCCTTGACATGTTCTGATTTCATCTAATAAGGTGGGTCTCACCTCAAATCTGGCCAATAGCGCCCCATCCGTGGATACCTCCACGCGTGCCCTCAGTGCCCGTAAGCATGTGAGTAAAACCCCTGATGATGAGCTCTTCCTGCTCAGTGCATCAGCTACAACATTAGCCTTGCCTGGATGATAGTCAATGATCAAGTTGTAATCCTTAATCAACTCCATCCATCTCCTCTGTCTCATGTTCAACTCTTTCTGAGTGAACACATACTTCAAGCTCTTGTGGTCGGTGTAAATGTGACACAACTCCCCGTAGAGGTAGTGCCTCCAAATCTTCAACGCAAATACCACAACACCTAGCTCCAGATCATGTGTGGGGTAGTTTACTTCATGCTTCCTCAACTGCCGAGAAGCATAAGCAATTACCTTCCCTGATTGCATCAGTACACATCCCAGTCCCTGAATGCTAGCATCGCTGTAGATGTCATACCCTAACCCTTGCACGGGCAAGGCAAGCACTGGTGCTTCGGTCAAACGTTTCTTTAGCTCAAGAAACCCCTTCTCACACTTGTCATCCCACACAAACTTAGCCCCCTTTTTAGTGAGCTTCGTGAGTGGGGATGCTATCACCGAGAATTTTTCCACGAATTTGCGGTAATACCCCGCTAAACCGAGGAAACTCCTTATCTCCTTCACGTTCTTGGGCCTCTCCCAATTAGTGACCGCCTCAATCTTTGAGTTATCAACTGAAATGCCCGAGCCCGATACCACATGCCCGAGAAAACCGATCTCCCCAAGCCAAAATTCACATTTAGAGAATTTGGCAAAGAGTTGCTTCTCCCGAAGTGTTTCAAGCACAAGCCTTAGATGTTTTTCGTGTTCCTCTTCATTCATGGAGTATATCAAAATGTCATCAATGAACACTATGACGAACTGGTCTAAGTATTGGTGAAATACTCGGTTCATGAGGTCCATGAATGCCGCGGGGGCGTTCGTAAGCCCAAACGACATTACTAGAAACTCATAGTGACCATACCTCGTACGGAATGCACTTTTGGGTATGTCACTCTCCTTCATCTTCAGTTGATGGTAGCCTGACCTCAAGTCAATCTTAGAGAACACCGTTGCCCCCCGTAGTTGATCAAACAAGTCATCGATCCTTGGCAAAGGATATTTGTTCTTTATCGTGACCTTGTTCAACTGACGGTAGTCGATACACATTCTGAGTGTACCATCCTTCTTCTTTACAAATAGTACCGGTGCTCCCCATGGTGAATGACTCGGCCTGATGAATCCGCTGTCCAGCAATTCTTCCAATTGCACCTTCAACTCTTGAAGTTCAGCCGGTGCCATCCGATATGGAGGAATCGAGATGGGTTTTGTACCGGGTTCTACTTCAATGGTGAACTCAATTTCTCGATCTGGTGGGAGTCCCGGGAGTTCTTCAGGGAAAACTTCTGGGTACTCACTCACCACTCTCACCTCAGTGAGACTCTTTTCCTTGCCCTCCTTGCCTATGACATATGCCAAGTATGCTTGACACCCTTTCCTCATCATACGCCTTGCTCTTATGGCCGATATGATACAAGGGTTGAATTTCCCTCTATCTCCCTCGAAGCATAGAGTGTTTCCTTCTCCATCCTTTAGTTCTAACACCTTGGTGTAGCAATCTACCTTCACATGGTGTTTTTCGAGCCAATCCATGCCAAGTATAGCATCAAACTCGAGCATATCTAACGGCACAAAGTCACCCGTTAGACAGTGCCCCCCTATCCCTACGTTACACGAGGGATAGTAGTGTTTCCGCTCTACATCATCTCCCAATGGCGTAGAGACCAGCAAAGGTTGCATCATTGCTACCAAAGGCATGTTCAATCCCTTGGCAAACGCTTCGCTCACAAACGAACGTTGTGCCCCGGTATCGATGAGAATTCTCGCATCCCTATCGTTGATCTTTAGTGTTCCTACATATATAAGTCATGTAAGACACCCTATTCATCATCCCGACAGAAAAGGACCGGACGAAAAAATTTCAGCCTAGAATTACCCCATACCCGGTCGGGTAGGGTCCTCTACCCGGTCGGGTATCACTCGAGTCCTTAAGGAGAAACCCCCCTGTTTTCCTTGCTCGGTCGAGTACCAGCCTCGAATTCGGGCAAAATGTCAATACCCGGTCGGGTATATACTTATACCCGGTCGGGTATCACTCAAAATCCACAAATAAAAGCTCCCTGTCTTCTACGCTCGATCGAGTACACACTTCGAAGCTCAAAATCTACACATACCCGACCGGGTATATAGCCATACCCGATCGGGTATTGCTCGAAATGTCAAAAATAAAGCATCCTGGCTTGGCTGCCCGAACGGGTGCACACTTCAAACTCGAAGTATAGCTTATACCCGGTCGGGTCTATAGGAGTACCCGATCGGGTCCTTCATATTTTTGAAGATTTTTCAACCAATTACATGATCAAATACGTGTGAAATCAAGAGATTACCTGCAATGGAGTCCGGGTTGGCCCGAGCATCAGCCTCGGTCATTGCATACACCCGTGCTTGGGTCCTCCCTTGGTTAACGGACGCGGCGTTGCTAGCCATGGGTCCGCTCCTTCCCGTGCCGGCCTGAGACGGCCCCGCACGTCCCCTACTAGTCGTAGGTCCTCCCATGGCTCCCGGTGGTCCTCCCCCGTTCAGCATTGGACAAGAGGATTTGAGGTGGCTCGTGCTACCGCATTTGAAGCACCGGGGTGGTTCATTGCACCTTCCCCCGTGGTTCTTACCGCAGTTTGCGCACCTGGGTGGTCCCACACCCCCTGGTTTGGGCCCTTGCCCTCCTGAACCTTTGTTCCTTTTCGCCGGTGGTGCCGGCGCCCTGAATGAATTGCCACCCCCAGCGTGATGCTTCCGGGAGTGGTCTTGGGGTCCCGAGTTTCCCCATCTTCTCTTCTTCGCCTCCTCGGCGTCCCTCAACTTCCTCTCGTTCCATTGGGCTTCCCCAAGGAGCCCCTGATCGACAATCTGGCTAAATGTCATGTTGTGATGGTAAGTAGCCCGGTCACGGATGTCCAACTGTAGAGCATCCCAAAAATGATTGGCCATACGATTTTCATCCAAAGAGTATTCTGGGATGAATCGGGCCAAGTCACGGAACCTTTGTTCCAATTGCCTCACCGAGCAACCATCCTCCTGTTTCAGGTTTGTGTACTCTCTTCTTTTGAGATTGACTTCGAAAGTCGAGTAGTACTGATTATAGAACTCCACTTCGAACTTCTCCCAAGTGGCCTCACCGTGGAACTTTCCTTCCACGCCTTCCCACCATACAGCAGCTACCCCTTCTAGTAGTCTGGTGGCAACCCTCAACTTCACGTCGAGTCCAATTTGCATATCCCTAGAAGCATCATTCAGCTTCTTAATCCAGTCGGCGGCCTCGGATATGTCGCCCTTGCCATCAAATGATTTGCACCCCAAGGCCCTGGCCTCCTTGAGATACTTGGAGATACGCACCATTGTGTCTCCCCCAAATGCTCCAGATGGAGCACTAGAAGCACCCCGGCTTCCCTGCCCCATGGTTTGCCTAGCCTGTCTAGCTTGGCGCCGCTGCTCTCTCTTTGCTTTATTCTCGAGGTACCACTCTAGTACCTCACTCATACGGTCATAGTGAGGATCATCATCCTCATCTTCTTCCTCAAAGTCCTCCCCGTTGTACGGGGTCTCCTCTTGCTCCGTGCTTGGAGCATAGGTGAAGTCGTCCGGTTCGGTGGCCCATGACGGGTGCACGGAACCGACGCGTGTGCTACTTGTCGTCGGCGTGGTAGAACGCCCACGACCCCTGCCTCGGCCTCCTCCTCGGCTTTGGCCCCGGCCTCTACCCCTAGAGGTCCGTGATTCCGCCCGAGTGGCATGCCCGGTGGCCCCCGGCACATGCCCTGTCGGGTTCCTCCTAGTTATCCTGCGTCCACCCTCCATTTCTGAAAGAAATAAGGAATGAGTCAGTAGACTCGTTTCAATGTCAATTGACGGATTAGTACGAAAGACACCACTTGGTCCAACATTATGGCCAACAAACTGTTAAGGGTACCGTCTTAACAATAAGAGGTCAATAACTTGGTTTCCAACGGTTCCTTAAGTACAAAAACTGTTGCTCATGGTTTTATTCAAAACTTTTTGAGGATAACCATATTGAGAGGTTAATTATATAGTTTAGAAATCGATGGCTCTGATACCACTTAATTGTCACGCCCTGGACCGCATCCGAGCCACGTAGACAACCGCCGTACAACCCGATAAGAACGACAATAGTTCATCCCTATTGAGTTGTACAAGGCGTCCGATTGATTCTATTGCCAAACCGATTAGTAAACACATACAATCAACATCAATATCATAATAAAACAAATGCGGAAATAATAAAATGTTTGATACTTAGCCACACGTGGCAAACACGGGCACGCAGGCCCCCAACTGTTTTAATGAAAATATTGTTCAAAAATCCATGAGCGGTTTATACATTTGAAATAAGAATGGAAGCACGAACCACGTCTTCCTTCTCGATCAGTCACCCTAGGCAAAGGTGCAGGTAGTAGGACTCTAGCCTCAACCTGAAAAATGTGAGGGCCCCCGGAGGGGTCAGTACTCCATAGAAGTACTAGTGACAAGCAGGCTATATGAAGAATAACTAATGTTTCAGACACGAGACCCAAAAATAGGGTGATACATATATATATGTGACTCATTCATCCGATGATACATACTGTATATATATATGTAAAATACTCGACCCGTAGGTCCTTTCATTCAAAGAGTCTTTTAGAGATAAAGTTCTTACCTGACCTTTCTCACCCTTTTCCCGAATGCCTAGCTCACCAGCTACATTCTACATTCATAATATCCTACCGAGTTTTGGGAGCATTTAGCATCCCGGGGATGCTCAACCCCAACCGAGTTTCAGGATCATTAAATGTTCCGGGGATGCTCAACCCCAACCGAGTTTCAGGATCATTTGTAGTCCCGGGGATGCTCAACCCCAACCGAGTTTCAGGATCATGTATGGTCCCGGGGATGCTCAACCCCAACCGAGTTTCAGAATCATTTAATGTCCCGGGGATGCTCAACCCCAACCGAGTTTCAGGATCATTTATAGTCCCGGGGATGCTCAACCCCAACCGAGTTTCAGGATCATCTAATGTCCCGGGGATACTCAACCCCAAACTAAATCCTTACCAAACCCTAACCTGGATATGGCTAACCTTTCGTTCCTTCAACTATGGACAATACCTAGCCCTATAGTCATATAACCATCCTTAGGAACCAATGTGGGCGGGTCCCACCTGAACGGCCCACATTAACCCGCTCAAAACTGCCCGTTTTGAGCATAAACCAATACTCGATCGAGTATCTACCCATACTCGGTCGAGTACAGGAGGCGGTAGCCCCCAAAGCTAATTTTCCATGTATACTCGATCGAGTATCTACCTATACTCGATCGGGTATAGGAGACAGTAGCCCCCTGGGCAATTTTTCAGCAAATACCCGGTCGGGTATGTGTCAATACCCGGTCGGGTATGGCAGTTGACTTGGCGGTCAACGCCCCTTTTTACCCTCCAAACGGAGTCCGATTAACTTGAAATTTTATACACATATACTTCTTGATGTCCTTGATCCAAAAATACCATTTTGGATCCCTGTATCATCACACAAAATATATTATCACATTTTTAATCACCAAACCTACATAACATGCTTTTCAACTATGTTTTATGCAAAATCATGGCATAAGCAAATACTTGATTATCTTTAATCATTCCACAAAAAATATCCTTGATTACTTTAGGTAATCTCATGCCTAACGCAAAAGTTATAAAGCATAGAGCCGTCTTCTCACCTTAATGAAGCTTATGAAGTTCTAGCCTTCCCGATTTAGCTCCCGTGAAACTCCGACGAACTTCAACGAACTCCGGCGACAACTCCGGCGACTCTTTCAACTCCGTGAAAGTTCCTTGAATACCTTAGACAAGTTACTAACAAGGTTTTATCATCATAAAACCCATAGTAGTACAAATAACCCCCAAAAGGTTATTTTCCGGCGAACCGGTCCCTTTGGCTTCTAAGTCCATTCTTGGGCTTAGAACCACCTCCCAACCCCTCGTTCTACAAATCCCAACGTGTAGAACAATACTAGGGTGTGAAGTATGATTGAATAATCATATAAGATGATTAAAGAAAACGAACTGGGGTTAATGGAGTCCTTACCTTGCTAAACACAAGTTTTCCTCTCCAAAACCAACTTTTCCTCTTCTCTTTTCCCCTCCTTCTTCCTCCTTTGTTCTTGGTGCGTGAAAGGATGAGGAAATGGAGTATTTCAGACCTTCTCTCACTTCTTTGAGTAGGTTAACCGAGCTGTAGGAGTTGGTATGATTGAGGATGCCTTTTTGGCATTTCTCATAAAAATATCTTGGCCAAGGACCCACTCTCATGTTGATTGGTCTCCCAATCAATTCTTGATTGCTCCCCCCTGATCTTGTGCGGCTCCTCTGGCCATTCCCAGAACTAAAAACGTGGGTTGGCCCCCACTTATGTGGGAGGTCAACCCTTTGTGTCCCGGAGTGTACAATCGGTCCCGAAAGTTGTATTTTCCGTACCGTTTTAAGTATATTTTATTTTATCGGGTCAAATAAAATATAACATTTGTTCCCAATCCTTATTGGGCCTTAGAATCAATATGATTCCCCAACTTTAATTTAGAAATCTCCGGACTCCCTTTTTGGGCTGTTATCAGATAAATTGCCGATACCGATAATTTGGCCCCGTTTGACCAACCGGTCAACTCTATGCCATTGCCATGGCCCAATTAGGATATCCATCACCATATCCATATTATCTAGTCCAAGATTAATATAATATGTGGTCCCGATAATATCGGGCGGCCCCACATCCGGTGTGGGCCCCACGTGAATTTTACTATTCACGTAATAGAAATGATAAAAATTTACAATCACGTAAAAATGCTTTTATACATTTCTCAAGGTTCAATACATAATTTGGTACAGTACAAATACTCGGGGGCGGTGTTACAACATGTCCCACCTCCTTAACAGAATGAATGTACTAGTCTAATTACAAAGAGGCACGTTTAAAGTTAACTGGAGAGATGATTAATACAGCTGACTGATTGGTACGGTTATGTATCAGAATACATGTGTGGACTTGTGTGTGCCTTCATCTGGAATATTCTTTGTTCTGTACACAGAGGTGATATGGCACTTTACAAATGTATGAATGACATGGCAATGATCTTGCATGATATTTTGATTGATAAAATGTTCAAGTCCACAACTGGTTGGTGCTGCCCCAAGCTCCAGGAGGCCGGAGCTCGAGAGAAGTGAGCTCGTATTAGAGGATATCTTCCTAGTCTCCGTTATGCCCAGTAATGGTCATTTCCTCACTACTGTTTGACTTCTTTTGACTTCGTAAGCGTTGCTCGAGGTCAAACTTGGTACCGACCTCGGTGTGCTCAAGGACAACCTCGTATCTTGACTTATCTGGATGATTCCCAAGCTCGATGTTCTAGCCGACCTTGGAGGATTGAGGTTGGCCTCAGAGGGACCTTATGTCTTGTCAAATTGTCGTCTTGCACTCAGTTCCGACCTCGTGCGTCGAGGTTGTCCTCGGTTGGATCTTTGGTGCTGAGTGTTTGAGATGCCTTGAAGTGTTGACCGCCAATTATGATACCCTTTGGGAATATACTCCATCATGAGTCCCTCACTCTTTGAAGTGAAAGTGGCACTTGAGGTGAGAGAGTAAATCTTTAATCTTCTGAGCTGGTGTGCTCGGCGGGGGCACTTCTCTCCATGGTCACAACAAAGGGGTGCCTCATTAAAAACTCCACTCAGGACAAAACCTTGTGGAAAAAATCCTAACGGATGAAAAAGAGTACACTCCGCTTTGAGGTGACTTTCGAAGAAGAAGGTAATGCCCCGCTGCAAACAAATATGTGCTCGAGCTTGAACGTTCCTGCTCTGCTACTTTAGATTCCTATTTCTACAAGTTAGTTGCTACATTCACGACCTTGACCGAGGGTTGATAAAATTTCCAATAAATTCAAAATTTAAAGTAATACGTATATATGACATGCTCAATGTGCAATTTATACCTGTTAAATGGTGCTGATGTGGTTCAGTGGTTGTTGTCGTTTTCTGAGTTGTGGTATTGATGACATCTGTTTTTATATTTTGCCTGAGCCCCCCACTTATTAGTCCCCCACTCTAATACATTTAGAGAGAAAATCTAAGTGTAAAAGAGTATGAGCTTGAGGGGATTAGGTAGTTGCCTTTGATACTTAATGGACATAGGATTTTTTTTGTATTTGACGTGTAGTGACGCTGATGTGTGCAATTGGAATTTGCAAATATTCCTTTTGTAACATTGAAATTTATCAGCCTTTTTTTTGCATTTAATGCGAGACAAGGCTTTTGAAAAGGCTTTCTGCGCCATCATTTCATTTCTGCACGCCTTTTGGGGGAAACTCTTCAGTGTTTTTGTGTGGTTAATTCCTAGCCAGCCTTTGCGTCCTTCCTTTGCGTTTTTTTGAGGGAAGTATAAAAGACGGAAACTTCGCCTCCTTCCTTTGCATTTTTTTTGTTTTCGAACTATCAGAACTCTCAAGAAACAAAGAGCTCTCAAGTGCAAGGTTCTCAGTGTTCTTTGTCGTCCTCGTTCTCTCCATAAACAGGTTAGACGTTGTTCTCCTTTTATTTTTGCTATTAACCGTTGTTCGTTCGTCGGAAAACCCAGAGGAAGAGTTTTTCCGTCTAACTGCTTTTTTGGGCGCTGGGGAGGCCATAGAGCCTCAATGGGGTTGACATCGGTACCCCTAGACTCGGAATGACAATAGGATGTTGATTTCGGTCTTTGATTTTAGTTTGGGGGTCGGATTTGAGATCTTTGTTCCAGATTCCGATTTTGCATGATGTGCGTTCTTTTGCAGGTTGTTTCAGAAAATGGTTTCCCAGCCTGACTCTACTAAAAGAAAGGGGACCCTCACCCCATATAATTGGTGAATAAGCCAAAATGGGCATCTCCATCACCCCTAAACTCATTTGTTCGGCCAACACCAAGGAAAGAGATAAAGGAGAGCTCTGAAACCCCATCTTCCATAGCCAAACTCGAGCCCAAGCTCAAACAAGAAAAAGAAAGAAGTTTGAAGAAGGAAAAAGATAGAAAAGTGTGATTAATTAATGTAATGACCTTATAATAACTTTTCCTCTACTTCTTATCTACCTTATGATTTATATATCATATGGAGGACCCCTAGGAGCAGCAGTCAGTCCATGCAATTTTGGACGCGATTTTCACTACGGGTCCGCCGGAAACAGACTCTTTGTTCTTTAGTACAGGGGTAAGTCTGCGCACATCCGACCCCCCTTACCCCACCGTAGGTGGGAGCCTTTGCGGCACCGGGGTAAATGAAAATGATGAAATGAAAATGAAACGGAGGACCCCTAGGATTGTTCTACATGTTTAGAAGTGTAGAGCAAGGGGTGGGAAGGTAGTTCTAAGTCCAAGAACGGACTTAGAAGCCAAAATGACCGGTTCACCGGAAAATAACCTTTTAGAGGTTATTTGTGTTGATATGGGTTTTGTGATGATAAAACCTTGTTAGGAGCTTGACTAAGGTGTTTCTAGTTGTCGCCGGAGTTTTGCCGGAGTTTCACCGGAGTTCAACCGAGAAGGGTAGAACTTCTTAAAGCTCATTCGAGGTAAGGATGACCGACTATATTGCTTATATTTAGACATTTAGTGAGTTAATTTCATTAGACTACCTAAAGTATTAAATGTGATTTTCATGGATTATTAATGATTAATAATGCCTAAATGAAAATACCATTGCATATGAGTAAATGAAGCATGCTATACAAATTTAGAAGAAATTGTGTATGATTGTGTATTATGAATATGATAGCATGATAATGAAATAAATTGTGAAAGATTGTGATAAAATATACTTTTACTTCATGTAGAGAGTTCATGAGTGGATAAGACTATAAGAGTGATATTTTGATATTACGATTTAATCATATTTAAATTGGAAGATCGATTGAGATGAACAATATGATTGTGAATTTGAACTTGGTTGTTCTAAGATTAATTGGTTAGTATTGAAATACTAGCCAAAATGTTAGCATGAAAATTGATAGAATAAATCCTAAGGGCTTGGATTACGAAAGATGTACCTTAAGTAGTCTTATGAGATACTTTAAGGTATGAATGTGTAAATGGTAAGTTAAGCTAGGAGTAGGCCTTGAAGGTGATTCTAGGCATAGAAGTTGCTTAACAATTTGATAATATGACTAGAGGGAGCCTCTAGCATATTGAATGGTGACTAAAGGAAGCCTTTAACATAACGTAAGATGACTAGAGGAAGCATCTAGCATAATGGAGAGTGACTACAGGAAGCCTCTAGCATGACAGGAAATTACTAGAGGAAGTCTCTAAGATAATGTAGAGTGACTAGAGTTGGCCTCTAGCACGATGGAATAATATAGATGAGCATAGTGAAATGACGTATTGAGGTAAGCATGGGCCCACGGTCCGACTACTTGACTTTATACGTAAAGTAAGTATATTTTGAAGGAGTGTAACCAAGGGTTATGGCCTATAATACATTATCACCCCAGATTGAGGGTCTTAGGAATTGAAACATTGATTATATACAGTGTAGTTGTCATTGTACTTTTCAAATGCTTCAAAGTATTGACCTCCCCTTCACAGGGGAGGCCACCTCACAATTTCAGGTGGAACTTGAAGGTTGCTACCATCGCTCGTTGCTTCAGGGAGATTGAAGGAAGAAGACTTGGTTCGTGCTTCTTCCATTTCTGTTTTGAAACAATTAAAATAATGCTCATGAATATTACTTTTGAATAATTAATTGAGGGCTTGCATGCCTAAGTTTGCCAAGTGTGGCTCGAACACTTGTATTAATGTTTCCACTGCTTTAATGAATGTTTTTACATTATATTTGTTTATGGATGTACTATGTGTGAATGATATTCCAGACGCTTTGTATAGTATGGATGTGTTGAACTGCGGTTGACTATTCATACTATACGGCGGGTTGTTGACATGTCCGGGTAGGTCCAGGGCGTGACAAATAGTCTCAAATGAATGCCTGATAGTGCCATATTAGAGTTGTATGATTTCAAGATGTCAATATTTCATTTTTTGGATGAAATGTAAATATATATAAACATCCAAGAAAGTTTATGTACATCAAGTGGGACATGTACATCATATGAACATAAGACAAAAGATTATAGACAATCCCACGTAAGGATGTCCTATCACCTCAAAAAGATATCTATGTAGCCATCTAATCAACTCTAAAAAACCAGTCATCAAGCCGTGACAAAAATAGGTTAGTACCATCAGGACTTTTTCCTATATCAAAAGGAATTTCAAATAGGTGATTAATAGTTCAAATATTAATCTTATGGTATGGAT